AGAGAAAGCGTATTGAAAGGCACAGCGATGAGAGTCGCATCAATGCGCAAATCAACGGGCAAGGAAGGGGTCCATTTCTCGGGTTTCGGGCCGTTTCAAATGGTTTCTTCTTCATCCCTGCTCCACTGACCACCTCTACCCTTATTTCCAATGAGCTAACTTTTCATCGTAAATTCTGCCCCTAAGACCACAAATGATGGTCAATAACGTCATCAGAACCATCAAACCACCCTCCAGCCACCGTCGCGATCAGACGATCTTCAAGTCGCTGATGAGCGGGGTCAAACAAGGAGCGTTAAAAATAGGACTGGGATATTTGTCAACAAAATTCTACGATAAATTTTTGAAAAGAAGTACAGATTGAAAGCAAATGGTTCAGGTAACGTCCCCCGTTAACTGGTACGTGACCAGCACACTCAACATCAACTTCATCAACAGCATTCTCACCCGAGCAAATGTAAGTGCGTTTCGGCCCTTTAGCACTGCAATCCTGAGAGGGCGCTATTTCAGCAATATGGTCTGTCCATTGGAATCTACACAAATATTAATGAATGGAATCAAATCACCGGCTCAGCGAACATCAACAACGCCATGCTCTGGTAAGTGCCCTTAGGGCCTCTACTCATCAAGAACGTTCTCATTGCCTGCAGCTCTAAATACATTACGGGTAACTGTTCTATCTTTTAGGTACTGGAGCACATACGGCAGTGGAGTATCGAACGAGACTCCTGCCAACTTCAGTGACTTCCTCTCATTTGCAGGATGGACTTCTCCCTCAGTGAAACAATTCGCTCAGGTCGAAAGCGTCTGCGGAATAACTGTGAATAGGTAGGGGAAACGCAACGAGTTTTTGAGGAGCACTCCAACGTTCCGACGCCTACTACCAAATCGCATACGAATTGACCAACTTGAAGGTTTTCAAGCCTAAAGGCAGTGGACACGATGGATGGAGGGCGGAGCTATTTGGTGACGTCATTGAGCATGATTAGCGTGGGGACTCTCCCAACTACGCCCCCGGCGCGCTGAGAGGCCTGGTCCACTAGCGATGACCTCACTAGCGATGTCCAATGAGGTCATCGCAACCGCCACCCTCCAGCTATCGTGTTCACTGCCTTTAACCCAGTGGCGTTTGGTGGTGGTTTTATGTGCCTGTGTTTTGCTTGTTGATGAAATGCGTCAAATCAAATACACTGTGATGGATTTCAGAGACATCTACAGCACATCGTCGGCCGCCGTCGCAGGAATGGCTAGGCGTGAAAAGGAGAACAACAAATCATCGTTGGTGGTCTCGGACTAGGAGCCGGAGCTTTCACCGGAAAAGCTGAGATTAACATAATCAATTTTGCATAAATAATCCGCTAATATATCTTTTTGACGTACGATAAACACGAGCACAATGTCTCCCATATAGTTACTATTTCAGAATATTCATGGCCAGAAACTCGTGTAACGTTAGTCATGCTGGACCTTGAATTTAATGACACAATGAAGTCGGATTACTCGTCAAGCTTTTCAAAATTACCAGATTGTGCGTGCCTCGTACCCTTTGCCAAGCCTGATATGGTCAAACAGAATGAGACTTACCGAGAAAACGCTACCATACATTTGAGAGGAGGATGAAAAAGCGCCAATCTCATGTTCCAAGTTGTCACTGCTGGCGTTTGGTGACATTAACCCACTCGCTTGTCACGTTATTTGAATGCCTGAAACAGCTTGTTAGTTACCCTCCCTTCAAAAAGCCAGAAGTTTGGTGCGGTGCAACCTACCAAGTTGAGACGGCCACAAATGAAATCTGGTTAGTAGTGTTTCATAGTGATAGCTGATTTTTAGTAAATGATAGTTGTAATTACTGTCAACTGATCGAATACAACTGTAACAGGTTAATCATTTCATTGGCAAAAACATTTGCATTTTCTGGAGGCCGTCGTCACTTGTGGTGTATGGTCTGCACCGCACGATTTCTGGATTTTGGAAGGGGAGGTTAGCTTGAGTTGTGCGCCGAAAAGTGCAGAAATTTCAGCTCGAACTTCAGCACGAGAAAACCTCAAAGGTCTTACTATGGTTTACTGTAATCATGATACCATATCTGTGTTCAACCTATTCAGTCGGACTGAAATTGCAGGGAAAGGAGGTATATGAAGTGAGAAGGGAGCCCACTGTGTTCAAAAACCGAGCAATGAACTTATTCTCTAATTATTTCCCCAGCCCTTTCCCTCGTGGGAAGTTGCGCACGGAAAGCTCGATTCTGTTGGGAGGCGAGGCGGACGTAGGAGTGGACGAGTGGATAGCTCGATGTGAAAATCAAAAAGGAATGAGACATTCCTCATGGGTCCAAATATTTAGGACAGGACGCATTCTTGCCGCACAAAACATTTCTATCGCTTGCGAAATCCGTACAGTAGAATTGAGACTTTTGTATACGTTTGTGTAAAGCTACTAATAAGGAGGGTGATTTCCCCGTAGAGCCTTACCTTGATACATTCTGTATAAGTTATGCCATGGGTAATAACATTTTTGACAATAACATTAAAAACTGGGCGGAAATGGTGCAGTGGAAAGTGGCACGCTTACCACGCGAGATCAAACCCTGGGTCCCTAGTCGCCCGGGCCAGCCAAGCCTTCCATCTCGGGGTCGGTTGGTACCAGACTTGTCTGGGAGGATAAAAACACTGACTTGTACATCGGCTGGCCCCCGCAAGTCATTGTATAGGCCACATCGCATTCAAACGCCACTACGAATGTACAAATGGAAGTAGAATGCGTGCCGCATCCCAAAAAGGGATTGATCAACGGCAAATGCTTTATCCTTTATCCTTTATATGGTGTGTAAACTTAATGACGTATCAAGCGACGCGAAGTAACTTTCACATGATATCTCACTGCTAGTTAACCTAGGTGGACCAAATTTGGCACATATATAGAAGTAAATGTTGCGGTACAGTGCAGAGAGTTACTAACAGAAAAGCGCAAAGGGGCGATTGGAAAAGACATTTTTCTGCAAATACCCTGTCTGAAGCGGTCGATAGGTGAGGCTTCTCCAACTCATGGTAGACACTCAAAAGAGAGGAGCTAGTTCTTGATGGGGTGTATGAACACTACGGACTGCAAGGTATGCTCTGCTACGTGTTCCCATACAGGCCGTAAGATTAGTTAAGAGTTCTTGAGGAGAAGTGACCGATTCCTTGGAGACCGCGATTGACAACTGCAGGACTATTGTTGGCACATGGTCATGTGCTACAATAGCTCATCTGAATCCACGCCACACGTGCTCCATAGAATTAGACTGGAGGAAATAAATGGCTTCACCAATTACCGAAAATCCTCACTTTTCAAGAGTTTTCCACCCAGGCTGCTCGATACTCTCGCACACTGCCCTCCATACGATTGAAGCTGAGGGCAAGGGAACCCTTGGAAAGATGCACATGACAGAAGGGTACAACACCACAATCACGTTGATCAGAAAGTGTAACGCGATCATGAGTTGGGGATCAGTACGCCCCGACAACTTTATGCCTCCCCACATCATGTCGCATGCACTACCAAAACAATCATGTTAAACGATGGTCCTGGGTAGATTACACGTTCCTATTTTCCCCATATGCAGGTAAGTCCAGAATCACTACTCACATTCAGTTTGCTCTTGACCGGGAAGAATACGCGATTTTTCAATTCGGTGGTCCATCTCCAATGTCTCGGCTCGTACCAAATGTCCCAGCCGAGGCGTGGATTTCAAATGAATACAGGTATTGTTGATCGATGAGAGAGATCACTCCTAGGCGGTCACTGCGCCACTGTCCGGACTGGGATTACATGCCTTACAATCCTGATAAATGTTTTTGCAACTGCAGCATGTGACTGACGTGGGTCCATTTTTGCCTGTAGCAAAACCTAGCAATCACCTGCTGCTGCGGTTGTTCGTGACCCACAACCTCCTCTTCTTGGGACAGCAGTGGCTGCGGTCCACATTGCTTCTCATGCACAAAAAACAATGCTGTGGTTGACACAAAACTCCTGGACACAACTTCCTTTTTTCAGTTTCCCAATGATTCTTCCTCGCGTAAAGTCACCCTAGTGTTGTCTCTGAGACTTGATGTAATCAAGAACACCACTACATTCCACAGTCACTTCTCCCTGCTTAGTTTACCCCTCTTGTCCTGCCCCACGATACCCATCGTTCTGGGTGGGGGGGGGGGGGGGGGTGGGCGTTCTGGGTGGCCACCCCATTTAGGCTCCAGATTGAAGCCGGATGCAAGACATATGAGGCCCACTTCGGTGCCCATGACTGTAGGGCTTCTAGCATTATGCCCGTACAGTTTCATCCAATTCCATCTAATTGTTAATAAGTTAGGACAATTTATCTATCTGGTCCTTAAGTTTTGCACACCAGTGTAAATTACAATATACACTTGGAGTTTGATTTCCCAAACTCAACCCGAAAAAATAAAGTTACTGGCATGAAGTTAATATAATAAGTAAATAATACAATATAATGAACATAAACCGCAATTTATTATAATTAAAATCATGCAAAACATTAAAGGATAAAAAAGGATAAAGCATTTGCCGTTGATCAATCCCGTTTTGGGATGCGGCACGCATTCTACTTCCATTTGTACATTCGCAGTGGCATTTGAATGCGATGTGGCCTATACAATGACTTGCGGGGGCCAGCCGATGTTCAAGTCAGTGTTTTTTATCCTCCCAGACAAGTCTGGTACCAATTAACCGACCCCGGAGGGATGGAAGGCTTGGTTGGCCCGGGCGACTCACGACCCAGGATTTGATCCCGGACCGCTCGCGTGGTGAGCGCGCCACTTGTCACTGCACCACTTCCGCCCATGCAAACCATTAAACGGAATATATTAAAGCAGGTCTAAAAGGTTTCAACTGGACTATTCTCTTTGTTTCTCAGAAGCGTATTTATTGACTGCGATCTGAGAGATTCTTTAGTTTCTAATCAAGATTTCAAAATCACTGAATTTTTATCGCAAGAATGCTGGCTTATGAGTAAAACACACCTGACCCCAGTCGTATCGCACCGCTCTCTTCGGTTTCATTAGCAGTTATGAAAGTCTAAAATTTCCGTAATAATAATGTATTCATTTATTACTCAAGTTAATGCGCTCTGCATCACTTCATTTCCGTCTTCCTGGCTTATCGTCATTCTGTCATCATTGAGTGGTGATAAGTGATTTTCTAATCGCACGCTCAAACCTCGTCACTTACTCGAGACTTTCTCAGCGCCTGGTAACATTTTTGCACTAGCCACTCCTTAAACGTTGTTTTTCAGCAATGCGAAGACTTGTTGTGCTGTTGGTGTATGTTTGTTTCTGAGCACCTTCGCGAGTCCAGTTCTTCAGAAGGTCTTAACGGAACAAGAAATAACCTCCGATTTGGTACGAATTCCTCCCTCGATATTCACGACTGCCTGGCCTTCGTATATCTCCTCTTGCTCATTGCTTCAGTTTTTCATTCAGACTTGCAGCCTCACACCCTTCGCCGTCGACCATTGTCTATTCCAATCTCACTGGGCTCCGATCTCACTGGCGGGATTCCAGTGCATTCGTAGCAATCAGTACAGTACTGCTTTCATCAGGTACATCATTTAGACGGTTAGCTCGATCCCTGACCTTGGACGCGCCTTAGGTTTTGATGGGTCTATTGCAAACTAATGAGCAAGCTCTGGATGGATGGTCTGGTGCGTTATTTGGGCGTTTGCAAGAGCCACACAAGGGCGCTAGGTAAAGGCGTACACAAAAAACACTAACAAAGGTTGGGAGCTGTACGTGATTGAGACCTCGGGTAAAAGCAGCCGTTTCGACCCCCTCCCTGCCTCCCCCTCCCCCCCCCCCCCCCCGAATGCTGTCTTCATCTTCTTTCCCGTCTTTTACGTGAACCCACGTCTTGCAGGGCTTACACTCATGTTGGTCAAGGACAAATCGATGAGTACGCCGTTAGCAACATTCAGTTGGCTATTGCTGGTAAGCATTAAATTTCTGGTAGGGTGGTAGGGTTGACGTTGCCTTCCATCAAAAAGGCAGCAGACTCTCTCAGTTGTGATAATTCACTTCTCCCAGCCTAACTCCAGTCATTCTTATTTTTCAGCTGGACTTGGCGCTGAAGCCTACATGTCTCCTCAAGCCTCAATCATCCAAAACCGGCGCTCAGCAATTCGATGAGATGTACCTCAATCTGATAAACTCCAACATTGACGTTCAATCCGTGTGGATTCAGGTGAGCGAAGTGAGCCCAGGACAATCTGAGAAGCTAGCCTTCGCTAGTCTGCTCGAAAGGAGA